GTTTCTCCCACCTGGGGTTTCCTCCTACTATTTCTGGCCATTCTTTGTCTTCTTCCTGAACTTTTTTTTTTTTTTTTTTTTGCGGTACGTGGGCCTCTCATTGTTGTGGCCTCTCCCGTTGCGGAGCACAGGCTTCAGACGCGCAGGCCCAGCGGCCATGGCTCACGGGCCCAGCCGCTCCGCGGTATGTGGGATCTTCCCGGACCGGGGCACGAACCCGTATCCCCTGCATCGGCAGGCGGACTCTCAAACACTGCACCACCAGGGAAGCCCTTCTTCCTGAATTTTAAATGTACGAGTTTTGAGGACTCAATTCTAGGTTCTCTTCATTCTATATTCTCTTGCCTCCAGCTTTCTTGTCCGTGCTTATGGCTTTATTTACCACCTTCGCCCAAATTCTCAAAACTGCTTGCAGACCTTGGATACTGCACGGGCTCCTCAAAGTCAGAATATCCACTATCCCTCCGCCAGCATAGACCATCATAGCAAAAGGCCTCACAAGCACCTTAATATCCCCTTCCCCTCCACCTCCCAGTCCTCATATACAGTTAAGACACGTCCAAACATTTCTAAATCTGTCCACTTATCGTCCATGCCTCTGCGCTGGTCTAAGCCATCATGGGGTTACTGGGATAGCCTCCTGATCTGCCCCATGCTTCCGCTCTTCCTCGCATCCAATCCAGTCTCCACACAGTGTCCACAGTAATCTTAAAATACACATCTGAAAAAAAAAAATACACATTTGAATATCACATTTTACTCTTAGGAGTTACCATGAAGTCCAAAGTCCTCAGCGTGAGTATGCCAACACACAAGGCTGTGCATCAGCTGTATCCTGCCAACTTTTCACCTTCATCATAAACCACTCCAATCCTTACGCTGTTATCCAGCCACGTGAGCTCTTTCTGTCTGGAAAGTGACCCACGCCCCACCTCTTGATGATCTTACCTCCAAGGGCTCTATGTCAGTGTCCTTCGTAGATCATCACCTCCCCACTCCCAATTCTGATCACAGCCATAGTTGCTTGTCTACCCTGCCCCCCCGCCCACCCATAGACTAAGCTCCGGGAGGGCAGTGGGCTTATCTGCCCAGTTCACCATCGTGTCCATGATCTTGGGCCCAGATGTTTAACATAGTTTGTCCAATGAATGTGGGAAAAAGGGACAGACAGGAGACAGGTGTGGCGAGCAGGACAGATGAGATGTCAGGCGGTGCAGACAGACAGAGGCTGCAGTAGGAGAGGTCACAAACCCAACCAACAGACCGATGGGGTCTGAGGGCAGGGCAGCGAGATCCGAGCGGTTGCAGATGGGACGGTGCGCTCGCTGGGCCTCGCCTCCGCAGGAGGCGCTCGTCTCTGGGGCGTGGCCTCGCGCAGCCCCGCCCTCCTCGCCGGCGACCGCCAGGCGGGTGCCTCGCAGCGGCGGCGCCGACATGGCTGCTTTGGTGGAGCCACTGGGGCTGGAGCGGGGTAAGCGCGCCAGGGGCCCCTGCCCACCCAGCCCCGGCCTGCGTCCCGGAGCCCGGTCCCCTGCCCCTCCCCCGGCAAAGCCCGGGCGGGTGGGCGGGCCCGGCGGGGGTGGGCGGGGCGCCGAGAGTCGGGCAGTCGGTGGGTGTGGGAGGGTCCGTGGGCGAGCGGGCCAGAGAGGGGGCGCCCGCTGCACACCCCTGCCTGGGTGTGTATGGGGATCCTGAGGACGCAGGGCGCCCGACTGGCCGCAGTCTCTGCCACGGGCGACTCTGCGGGTGTCCGACTGGGACTCTGCTGTCCTTCCCGGGGTCTGCGCTCGCCCTTACTTGGTCTCTGGCCGCATCTCTCCGTCCTTCTCTGCGTCTTCACGTCTCTGACACTTGTGTGTCTGTGCGCCGCGCCCCCGCTCCGCAGACGTGTCCCGGGCGGTGGAGCTCCTCGAGCGGCTCCAGCGCAGCGGGGAGCTGCCCCCGCAGAAGTTGCAGGCCCTCCAGCGAGTCCTGCAGAGCCGCTTCTGCTCTGCCATCCGGGAGGTGAGAGCAACGCGGCGCCGAGCCCAATCGGGCGGCCGTGATCCTCTTCTGGTCGCCCCGAGCCCGGGGACTACGCCTCCCAGCAGCTACCGGGGCGGCCCTCCTTGGGTTGCCCGCGCTTCAACTCAGTGGTTATTTGGGAGTTGTAGTTTCCGCGGCCTCCAGGTTGCGGGGGCGGGGCGGATCCTTGGGTGGGAGGGTCTGGGGGCCTGGACTACTGAGTTGAAGGGAGGAGGGGTCTGGCGGCTCCTTGATGCTGCTGCGTCCTCACCAGGTGTATGAGCAACTCTATGACACGCTGGACATCACCGGCAGTGCTGAGATCCGGGCCCACGCCACAGCCAAGGTAGGCGCCCCCCAGCCCATTGCTCATGGTATCCACTGAATCGCATGGTCTAGCTCAATATCTATCTAATGTCAGTCATTCATTCCTGTTTCCTCCTTCATGATTTTTGCCATATCTATGTACCACCCTTGCTATGATTTATTTATAATGTATTTTAAATAATCTTACATTTTTAGTTTGTGTCATATAAAGACATCTTTAGCAAAAAAAAAAAAAAAAAAAAGACATTTTTAGCAACTACAAATGGAAACTAGTACCGAATGCCTGACTAGAAGATAACCAATGAAAACAGTGAACTAGCTTTAGTAAACACTGTAATCTTATTAAACTACAGTTAGATGCTATTTCTTGCTGCTTGCTGGAGGCTCTCAGCTCTGTCCAGGCCTTGTTTCCCTCTGTTAAAAAGCGATATTGACAAGTGTTGAGTATTCAAGACGCACGCACACCAAATGGAGACTTTCTCTTTGACAGTCTGAAGTGTCCAAAGTGACCTAAAGGGATGTACTGTCACTACGGCGTGATCTTGTGTTGAGTTCTGTGGCAGATGCCCCGTGCTTGAGGGAAGCTCTCTGGCCTAAATCCCTCTCCCTGACGCAGATCCTCCACCCTAGTCCGCATACGCATCGTGGAGGGGCCCTTACCTCCTGAGGCTTTCTCTCTCCCAGGCCACGGTGGCCGCCTTCACAGCCAGTGAGGGCCACGCACATCCCAGGGTAGTGGAACTACCCAAGACGGATGAGGGCCTGGGCTTCAACATCATGGGGGGCAAGGAGCAGAATTCGCCCATCTACATCTCCCGTGTCATCCCTGGAGGTGTGGCTGACCGCCACGGAGGCCTCAAGCGTGGGGATCAGCTGCTGTCAGTGAATGGTGTGGTGAGTGGGGATCTGAGGCAGGGCTGGCTGGGGTCACAGCTTGCCCAAGGTAGCACAGTCGCTGTTTTTCACATTCACTCAACACGCACTGAACACTGCCTCTGTGTCCGGCCCTGTGCTGGGCTTTGCCGCAGACCCTGAGAGTAATTGGCCACTGCTCCTACATTCGAGGAGTCCCTCTCTGGTGAGGGAGATAGACCCTGACTGAAACAGTCCTAAACCAAGGAGATAAAGAGGAAGCACAAAGCACTGTGAGAGCCCAGATGTGGCAGCAGACCACTGTAGATGAGGGGAGTTTTTGCAGATGAAGGAATATTTGAGTTGGGTTTTGAAGGATGAGTAGAAGCTGGTGGAGAAGGGTGTTACTGGCGGAGGGTGTTGTGGGTAGGGTCTGTGACTCTGCACTCCTACGAGGTGAAGAGAAAGGGCTTGGTTCTGATGAAGGACTGGGGCATGCTGGTGATTAAAATCACTGTGCTTAGAGTAGATGGAGGCATGACTAGGTAGGTGGTTGGGGCCAGTCATGCAGGGACTGAGTGCCAGCCTGAGAAGCTGGGACTTTGTCTCAAGCCTCCTGGGGACCCATGGGAGGGCTGTGAGTAGGGGAAGGATAGGCTTAGCCTGGAGGCATAGAAAGACCCCTTTGGGACTCTACAGGGGATAGACTGAGGGAAGAGGCTGGAGGCCAGAAGGCCAAGGAGGAGGCTAGGGTGAGGTCCAGTGGGGAGAGGATAAGGTCTGAGCTGGGGCCTGGTGGTGGGGACAAAGAAGAGGGAGTCAGGGCAGGATGGATGGGGCTGGGGATCATCGAGCTGCCGGGAGGGAGGAAATAAAGACGAGTCTGGAGGTCTAGCTCGGTGACTGAGGGCATATGGGGCTTGTCCCTGACATGGGGAACTTGGAAGGTTTGGGGGGAGGACTCTGAGCCAAGAGTGACTCTCTCATGAGTACATGAGGCCTTTGCATCTTGGGGTTGGTACCAGGGTGGGGGCGGGGTGAGGGTGGTGGGCCCCAGGCCCAGCTGTCTGCACCGCCCCTGCAGAGCGTTGAGGGTGAGCAGCATGAGAAGGCAGTGGAGTTGCTGAAGGCTGCCCAGGGCTCGGTGAAGCTGGTGGTGCGCTATACACCTCGAGTGCTGGAGGAGATGGAGGCCCGCTTTGAGAAGATGCGCTCTGCCCGGCGGCGCCAGCAACATCAGAGCTACTCGTGAGCCCTTTGCCACCACACCCCTGGGGCCCCCACTGCCTCTGGTATCCCCAGACTCCCAAACCAGGCCAATGATTTCTGAGGCCCTGATTGCCACCTCCAGCCCTGGCTCCTTTCCCTGGGATTCTGACCCTTGACCCAGGCTCTCACTCCAAGCCATTCTGACTAAATACCTTAGGGACTGTTAGCTCACTCCCATCCCAAGATCGGGAACCTACTCCCTCTGGAACCCTCAGCCCACTTCCCTGGGCTCTTGGCTCTGGAACCCCAGTCCTGGATCTCTCCCATGCCTCCCCCGGTACGCTCCCCTGAGCTTGGCTCCCCTCTCTTCACCCTCCTTTTAGGTCCTTGGAGTCTCGAGGCTGAAACCACAGATCTGGACCCTAACCCTCACCCCCTCCCCTGTACAGTATTTATTGTCACCAGCTCCTTATTTAAAGATCTTTGACCCTCATTGAGTGTCTGTGTCTGTTCTGCATCCGGGGGTTAGAATGTCTGGAGATGTGGGAGGAGAGAAGCCGAGGTCACTACCAGACCCTTTTCAGAGTCTGAGAGCGGAGCTTTGAGACTTTTCCCCAGGTCCGAAGGGAGAGGCTGGCCGGCTTCCTAGCGGCAAGTCCAGGTTGGAGGCTGGGACCCGGTCTGGGTCTGAGCGCTGGGTCAGAACTGAAGACAACTCCCCCTACCTTTCAGAGATTCTGAGGGCGGAGGCCAAGCCCCCTTCCTCTGTATCTGGTCTGACAGAGGAGGCCTGAAACGCGCAAAAGTCAGTGGGCGGCCTCTGTGTGGGCGGGGCGGAGCGAACCATTAGCCTAGCCCGCCGGGGGAGCCCTCCCGGCCGCGTAATCGTCTGAGTGGGAGGCGGGGGTGGAGGTGCCACGTGCAGTTCCCGAGGCGGGCGCAAGGGGTACAGAATAAGGTGCGCTAGCCGACTCGGCATTCACCCCACCTTCCAACCCGAGCGCGTGTCTCCGGGAACTGCCCCCGCCTTAAAATCCATTCTTTACTCCCACTCTCCTGTCCCGTGCGGCGCGAGGGCCGGCGCGCGCCACCGCCGGAATCCGGGGTCGCGACTCGCGTTCCACGCCGCGCGCCACTCGCTCCAGGTGACATCATCCCCCTGCCGGGCTCCGCCTCCCGCCCCAGCCGCCGCACGCCGCTTGCCTATTGGCAGTCTCACCTTGAGCCCCGCCTCCCGCTCTCCGCCCGTGAGACCCCTCCCAGGCAGTTCGGAGGTGGGGTTTAGCCGCCGGCCGGCGCAGACACCGCCTCCCATTGGCCACGCGGCCCCGTCTGTCAGTCTCCTATTAAAGGGGCCACGACCGCCCCGGAGCTGGTTTGCGGGGGGGGGCGGGAGGAGGGAGGAGGAATTTTTTGGCGGGGGAAGGTGGGATTTGGGGGGCGCTGGTGAGCACCCCTGGATCTGGCGGCTGCGGCCTCGCGGGGGGAGGCTGAACGGTGAAAGGGGCAGGGGGCTATTTTAGGGGGTAGAGGGCTGTGAGACCGTCAAGGGGAGGGGGGGGTCCCCAGCGCCCAAGCAGGAGCAAGAGACGCGGAGCCCGCGCGAGCGGCGGAGACAGGGCTCCGGAGCCACAGATCCGGGCCCCGGCCGCCGCCAGGGGCCCCGCCCGGTCCCCCCACCCCACCCCACGTCCCTCCTGCAGCCCAGCTCCGCCCGCAGCCGCCGCGGACCAGGTAGGTAAGAGCCCAGCCCGGCCCGCCTGGCAGCGCCCATCCCGGGGACCCGTCGCCGAGCTTCCCCCGCCTCCCTGAGATCCTGGATTCCCTTCTTCATCCCCTGGGACCTCAGAGCCCAGATTTCACAGCCCGACCCCAGAGACTCAGGCGTGCCCCTCCCGGCTCTCAGAGTCCCCAACCGAACCCTGGAATCCCAGGCGTACTGCCGCCTTGCGCCTCCTCCGGGGCCCAGGAGCCTGGATTTCCCAGGTCAGCCCCAGGAAGCCCCTCTGGACCTAGATCCTCCTCCTCGGCCCAGTCCTGGGAGCTCCAGACACCGGCCGCAGCTGTGTCAGACTCCCCCAGCTAGGGCCGGCCGCCCCCCCCCATCGCGTCCGCATAGTCCCCCATTCGCGCACCCAGTCTGCCCATCTCTGGTCCGCCGGCTTGAACAGCCGGCCGAGTCCCTCAGTCCCGGCCGGCTCGGCGGCCGCCCTGGACACAGGCCCGCTCTGGAGCTGTCCATGGTCACCGTTCTCGGCAGCCTCGCGTCCCCCATCTCCTGCTGCTGCCGCCGGGGAGGCGGCGCCGGCGGCGCGGGGATCTCCCCCGTCGCGCCTTTGACCTGGGGATACCCAGGCCCTCCCCGACCTGGGCGCCCGGGCCTCAGGGTTCCACTGGCCAGGCTCTCAGCTCCACCCTCAACAACCCAGGTTTCGGAGACCCCAGCTTCTACTTGAGGAGTCAGGGCTTCTGAATGTTCCTGCCTGGTGCACCTTAGGGATCTTGGCATCTGGGGACCCAGATCCCACCGGGCTCTGGGAGCCCTGTCAGTCCTCACTTCTTCTGGCTAAAGGCCCCAGCTGGTAGCCCTCACCCCCTCAGGATCTAGGAATCCAGATTTCCAGCTTTTGCTCCCTTCAGAGACAGTTCAACAGCCCCTATGCCCCTCAGACAAATATACCCATCCACCTGGCACCCCAGCATCTGCCCCCTTAGGGATTCAGGCGCCATGACCCTCTTCCTTTCAGGGACTCAAAATGCAATTCTTAATGCAATTCTCTGGCTTCTACCCACGCTGCCCCCTGGAGACCTAGATGCCTTGTCCCTGATCCTGCCTCCCCTCAGGGACCCAGGAGTTCAGACCCCACTTTCTATTCTGCCCACCAAAGCCATCTACCCCGGCCCTCCATCCAACAGGGACTCAGGCTCCAAACTTCCATCTCCTGGCTTTGGCCTCCACAGCGATTCAGGAGTCCAGTTCCCCAGCTCTGCCACCCACCACCCCAAGTGTCTAGCCACTCAGCTGTTACTCTTTTGAACCCAAGTCCCTACAGCCTCACAATTGCCCATCAAATTGACATCTCTGGTGGCCTTGAAAAACCCCTGCTTCATCTCCGTATCATCTCAGGTTCTGGGCTCCCTGGGGTTTCCAACATTCTCCCCTGAGACCCAGCTTTTTGAGATGTTTCCAGCACTCCATCACGATTCTTTCATATCATGATGTCACATCCTTCGAGTACGCTCTCAGACTGGTGAGCCAAACATACATCCCTTCCTCCAGATGTGTTCTATGGCCTAGGTTCATTCTGTGATCTAGAATTGTCTTCCACATTTCCACCTAAACATGCGCCCTGGCAATGCTTCGCGTTCTAGATTCTTCCTAAATCCTAGAACACTCCCAGTCAACATCTTTGTTCCTTTTTCACCCAAGGTACTGTTCTGAAGTCTAGGCTAGATGCTAAATTCGAGGCATGACTTTCCCCTGGTAAATTCAAACATCTAGCTAATGCTCCCAAGCCAAATTCTGATCTCACCCTCCCCTTCGACAAGTTCCTTTTTTTTTTTTTTTTTTTCTTTGCTGCACCATGCTGCTTGCTGAATCCCCGACCTGGGATTGAACCCAGGCCCTCAGCAGTGAAAACGCAGAGTCCTAATCACTGGACCACAAGAGAATTACTGACATGTTCCAATTTTTAAGAAGCCAGTCCTTGCTTATTTTCTTCTAAAATTTCATTTTGGGTGTGTTCTAGGTTCTAGCCACATCCTTGGCATTGCTCTAGATTCCATTCTCTTCCCAGGGGCATTCTAAGTGCTAGAATATGTGTGTTCCGGGCTTCCCTGGTGGCGCAGTGGTTGAGAGTCCGCCTGCCAATGCAGGGGACACGGGTTCGTGCCCCGGTCCGGGAGGATCCCACGTGCCGCGGAGCGGCTGGGACCGTGAGCCATGGCCATTGAGCCTGCGCGTCCAGAGCCTGTGCTCCGCAACGGGAGAGGCCACAACAGTGAGAGGCCCGCGTACCGCCAAAAAAAAAAAAAAAAAAAAGAATATGTGTGTTGCATTTATGTGCTCTAACCTTTCTCCAAACTGTGCTATCCATTCTAGAATGCACTTCCTATTTTATTTAATTATATTTAAAATTTTTATTTATTTATTTTGGCTGCACTGTGTGGCATGCAGGATCTTAGTTCCGTGACCAGGGATCGAACCCACATCCCCTGCAGTGGAAGCGCCAAGTCTTAACCACTGGACTGCCAGGGAAGTCCCTGCACTTCCCTATTTTAGATTCCATCCAATTCTACAGTCTTAAATCTCGAGGATTCCCACTGAAGTGTTGTACATTGCATCTTCCTTCCTCAGGTTCTATGTTCTCGGCTCATCCATTCCCACCTTCTCTGTCCATCTTTTCCCTGGTGTGACCTTGGCTTAGAACTTGTCCCCTGGTGGATTGGGGGCTTCCTCCATCTGCCACTTCAACATTCTAAACATGCTCTAGGCTCTCTCCTCTTTTGGAGTCTTCAGCCTAGAAATGTCCTCATTTCTAGAACACACCACCCCCATCCCCACCCCCTTTGCCAGCTCAGTCCTTATGCCAGGAAATTCTCAATTGCCAAAATGCATCTTTCTGCATCTTCCCCCAGGCGATTCTAAGTTCCAGGCAAACTCCTTGCTATTTTCTAGGTTTTCCTTTGCCTCCAGGGCATGTTCTGAATTCTAGAGCATATATTCTGCCTTCTGAGTTCTAACATTATCTAGATGCATGAAAAAACCAAGCATGCGATCTCTGCTTTATTCTGTAAAGATAAAATATACCTTTGCCTTCATCCCTGGTAGGTTCTGAGTTCTAGATTATGTCTAGATTATGTCTCCTGACTTAGGTTTGTTATGTACTGCATTAGGTCTGTTCTTAGATATCATTACCCTCCCCTCTGTGTTTGGGGTTCTGGGGTGACCCAGACACTCTTTTAAGTTATTGGATTGCTCTTGGCTTGTTCAAAGTTCCAGACCTGGGCTCTAGAATATGCCCTTCTATCTGGCCCCATGTGTGGATCCTACCCCAAGCACATTGTAAATGTGGAAGTGTATGGCCTTTCTGCACTCTGTACTGTGTCTTCTTGCACGTGGCTTTCTAGATTCTACACCCAGCCTAGCTGAATTTTGTTTCCTTCTCAGGGAATTTGAAGTTCTAGAACAGCCTCCCTAAAACATCCCTAATTGCATCTCATGAGTAGATTCTGGGTTTTAGATACCATGTTGGGTTTTGGTCTAAGTCTGGCCTGCCCTCTTATAAACATTTTCTTGAATCTGACCTCTGAGTGTTGGGATTCAGGTGTCTAGATTCCCAGATGCACCTCTTCAAAGACCCAAGGTTACAGGCACCCAGCTGCCTCCTCTCCCAGGTCCCAGGTCCCTCAGTCCCCTCCTGTCCTCCCAGGAGTCCAAGGCCCCAGTCCCAGGCTTAAGACATAGTCCGAATATTGGGTGGAGCTGGAAATTATCCACTCTGAGAACCGGTTATGCCTCTGCCTGAAGGGAGAGAAAGAAAGGAGAGAAGGAGTCAAAGTCCCTCCTGCTTTCGGCTCAGCTAGATGGACCCGTCTGACCTGATGTGTGTGGAGGGAGTGGCTCAGGAGACCTCCCTTCATCTCCACCCGCGGCTCATGAACCTGGACCCCTGGGTCCTGGGGGCCTTGACTTCTGAGTTCTGAGGGGGCAGAAGTCTGAAGGCTGAGATTTCTGGGTCTAGGGTTGTTGGTTGAAAGCCCAGACTCTTGTGTCCTGGGAGGAAGGGGATGTGGTCTCTGATTCCTGGGACTGGGGAGGAGAAGGCTGGAGGCTCAGACTCCTCAGTCTGGGGGAAGGGAGGGATAGGGGACCTAGATTCCTGTGACCTGAGAGAAGAGGTAGCTGGATCTTAGACTCCTGTGTAGTGGGAGATGGCTAGCATTGTCCCCACCATTTTTGTTTTTCCCGACTGGAGTGGGTCTTTAGATTCTCCTGGAGCTAGATATCTAGATATCTGGGAAGTTGAAGGAGGCAGGAGTTGGGCTGAATAGCAGGTGAGGACCATCCCTGTGACATTATACAGGTGACTACGTACCAGTGACCTAATTCTGTGACCCCAGGTTTGTGGCCTCCTGAAGACATGGTCTC